TACATGAACACGGTCTTCGCATTCGAAGCCGCAATCACATTTGAACTCGTCGTCTTCGTCCTCTACCGTGTCATGTCTTCGTCGGCGTTCGTGAAGGCCCATGTCCCCGGTCCTGAATTTGACCTTAAGCTTTGTCCCTGCATCCATTGGTCCATGTAGGTAATCCTTGAACCCTATTCCTTCCTTCAACATTCCGTACACTTCTAGACCCTCCTTCTCCTTGGATTCTTCCCTTAGATTCTGTTCTTCGCTCTCGGCACAAGCAACAGATNCATGAACACGGTCTTCGCATTCGAAGCCGCAATCACATTTGAACTCGTCGTCTTCCTCGTCTACCGTCCTATGTCTTCGTCGACGTTCTCGAAGGCCTATGTCCCCGGTCCTGAATTTGACCTTAAGCTTTGTTCCTGCATCCATTGGTCCATGTAGGTAGTCCTTGAACCCTATTCCTTCCTTCAACATTCCGTACACTTCTAGACCCTCCTTCTCCTTGGATTCTTCCCTTAGATTCTGTTCTTCGNCTCCCATCCCGCACATGCGATACTGCCAGGTCAGCTTCCTCGCGTCTCTTCCCGACCGTAGGGATTGGATCCCCAATTCTGCCCTGACGGCTGCATTACTTGTGCGCCTGAAGCATCCTAGGATGATTTTCGCTGCTTTCATCTGCACCGCCTCGAGTTCTTTCACTACCTTCTTATTTCCTTTCCATACTTCTCCGGCGTACTCTAGCGGCGGTACGATTACGCTCTTCAAAACCGTCAATTTGATGGCGTGTATCGAGGTGCCGGGGGGAGGGGGGTAACTTTAGCAGAAAGTATCATTGGAAGTGCCGAAAAGGCTGGACATTGACAGCCTTGCTGAAAATTGCACCGGAGAGGCAAGGAGGAAACGCTCGCAACTGCAGCAACACCTCCACAGAGGAGGGAGAGGTAGATGTCTTGTGGCCGTGTTGCTTCGAACGCGTACGCTTCGGTCCCGTTGCCGCTGTTTTGTACGCGTCTTTTCTCCGCTTATTATCTAACTCCACGTATCTCTCTCTGTCTATGTCGCTTTCTTTTTCTCCATCTCTTTCTGCACCTCTATCTCTCCCTAGGTGGGAGAGCAGGTCCGGGCAGACCGCGTGGAGGAGGAGATCCCCCTCAACCCCTTCACCGCGGGCGTCTACGTGGCGACCATGATGGCCCAGATCGACGTCCTCAAGGAGGGAGGCCACTCGTACACCGAGATCGTGAACGAATCCGTCATCGAGGCCGTCGACTCGTTGTGCCCGTACATGCACTACAAGGTGCGTCCGTCTCCGAAGAGGCGGTTATTTCGCCGCATCTTTTTTTTGTTTTGTTTTAACGGGGCGGTCGGGCCGGCGGCGGAGAGAACAGGGGAGACGGTGGTAGCTGGGGGGCGGAGGATGTCGCCAATCGAGGTTGACTTTGATGGGAGAAGGGGTTGTGTGTACGATGGCACAGCGGTAGACTGGGAAGATGTGGCACCCGATTGCACAAACGGTTGGTTGGGCGCGCTGTTGTTTCTCGATCTCCCGCGGTTTGATGATCGTGTGTGATTTTATTGTGCGACAGGCTTGTTTGGTACATGGATAAGGTTGTTGTTGTTGTTGTCTTCACATTAAAAACCATCCCGGTCTCTCTATCCAGTACCTCCTTCTGTCTCAATCTCTCCGTACTAATCCAGCACTTGACTCGGTCGATTTCCGTGGTCACAGGCTAACGTACCTAGAAAAGGTATCCCAAAATAATACGGACCCCAAGGGTTAGCAAAGCGATAAAATACAAGAAAACAAAAGAATCAGAAACAAATGAAGAAATAATAGTGGAACGTGCGTACCACCAGCCTGGCGGGTAGCCTTCCGGAAGGACCCCAAGGGTCAGCAGTACGTGCCAGGAAAAAACCAAAACAAAATAAAACGAAGTAAACCAAAGACAGACGAGGACACAAACAAACTCGCACAGAAACAGGGATATCCGTAGAGATAGTCTGAACGCGACAGCAAACGGGGGAGAGGGCAACAGAAAAATTAGTCGTTGAAATTCAACCGCAACATGTCACGTCACGCGGTCGGTCTCTTCTCGCTTGCTTTCTTCCNACCACCAGCCTGGGGGGTAGCCTTCCGGAAGGACCCCAAGGGTCAGCAGTACGTGCCAGGAAAAAACCAAAACAAAATAAAACGAAGTAAACCAAAGACAGACGAGGACACAAACAAACTCGCACAGAAACAGGGATATCCGTAGAGATAGTCTGAACGCGACAGCAAACGGGGGAGAGGGCAACAGAAAAATTAGTCGTTGAAATTCAACCGNCTGGCTTCGAACATCTTCATGTCGTCCTTCAGGCATGTCAGCCAGTTCTGCTCCGGGTTTCCCTGGCCCGGGTCCTCCCCTCCCACCAACTCGCCGAACATCAGCCGTTTCGGAAGCCGCCCGTCCGGCTGTCTTGCCACGGCCCCCGCAAAGAGCAGGCGCCGTTGACGGACAGTGGCCTCCACGCTCTGGCAGCCGACCCTCTTCAGCGCCTGGGCGTATGACAGCTGCCGGTAGGTGCCTGGCTTGCGCCGGTAGCCGATAACTCGCAGGAGCAGACGGTGGTGTGTCGTCTGCAGCATTCCGTAGTGGTTGCGGCGTGGGGACCATGTCATGCAGCCGTATAGCAGTGCCTCCACTGCCTCCGCCTGGAGCAGGCGGGCTTTGAGGCGAAACGGTGCTCCCGGTCGGTCGAAGAGCTCCGTGGCGTATCGCTTAATGCACGCCCACGCTGCTTTGCTCCTGTGGTTGATCTCTCGGGTAAGGTCGCCCTGCTCGTTGACGAGGCCGCCCAGGTATCGGAACTCGGTCGTCTGTGCGTACCTTTGCCCCGCTGCTTCGATGGTCAGCACCGGCGGTGGCGGCGGCGGCGGTCGCTGTCTCTCCTTCACCCGCATCACCAGGGTCTCCGTCTTCCTCTCCGACACCGTCAGCCCGAACTCCCGGAACACCTCCACGATAATGGTCATCATCCTCGCCAGGCCGTCGGCGGACTTCGACACAACGCCGGCATCGTCGGCATATAGCATCCCCCACACCGCCCTCCGAACTCGGTCCAGCAATGTCTTCCCCCCCCCTTCCTCCTCCTTGAGGTATACTAGGTCCCGCATGATAACCTCATCCTTGCTGAACCGTGTGACAATGACCTCGAGAGGCGCGGCGAAGAAGACGTTGAACAGCAGTGAAGAAGACATTTAATGTCTTCTTCACTGCTGTTCAACGTCTTCTTCGCCGCGCCTCTCGAGGTCATTGTCACACGGTTCAGCAAGGATGAGGTTATCATGCGGGACCTAGTATACCTCAAGGAGGAGGAAGGGGGGGGGAAGACATTGCTGGACCGAGTTCGGAGGGCGGTGTGGGGGATGCTATATGCCGACGATGCCGGCGTTGTGTCGAAGTCCGCCGACGGCCTGGCGAGGATGATGACCATTATCGTGGAGGTGTTCGGGTGTCACGTGGAATTATTTTTGCGTAACAATCAACCCGAGACTTTTTTTGTCGGTTGTTTGGAGCAACAGACAGCTATAGCTTGATTTTTTTCAGTCCGGACAGCTTTCGTTTGTAAATCAATTGCTGGAATGCTTTCCCTCGCTTAACCCCGTGCCCCGGCGTCCCGGCCCGCGTGTTGGGCTTAATGGCTGGCACACAGGGTGTGGCCTTCATGGTGGACAACTGCTCCATCACCGCGCGCCTGGGGTCCCGGAAGTGGGCGCCCCGCTTCGACTACATCCTGGAGCAGTTGGCGTACACCGCGATCGACAACGGGTCTGCTGTAGACGACAGCCTCATCTCCGACTTCTTGGAGAACCCGGTACACGACGCCATCAGGGTGAGTGATCGCGACTGATGCCATGTGTGTGGGGCAGACTGCTGGGTGCAAGCTTTGATGGCGCTCTGGGTTCCGCTGCAGCAGTGTACACATGTACGGACGTAGTTTTACGACGCATCATTTTGTCGGCAGCACTTTCCTGTGAGAAGTGTTGTCTTCACCGTGTAACGTTACGGTATACCCAAGTCGTGTTTTCAGTCTCTCGGGAATACCTGGGGTCGCATGGCGTGGTGCATCGAACTGGGCTACTGGATTATGCTCTCTGCGACACCTTATCAAGCACTTGCCCTTCCGCCATTTGCCGTTGGTAATTCCTTTGTTGGTGTTGTGTACATCCACCACTATACCTGACGCTTCATCCCTCGAGTGCTCGCAACTTGCCAGAGTACTGCTGTATCGTTGCAGAAAGAGAATCCCTGTCCCCTCACGGAAGTCAGTGATCGTGTTTGTATAAGTGTTATTACTCTAAATATGCGCTCACAGCTCGCCGCATTCTCTGCCGCGTCGGAGCTCCAATCCGCGTCCACACAGAAGGGTTCCTTTCCTCGCCCCCCCCCCCCCCCCCCCCCCCCCCCCCCCCCCCCCCCCCCCCCCCCCCCCCCCCCCCCCCCCCCCCCCCCCCCCCCCCCCCCCCCCCCCCCCCCCCCCCGCTGCGGAAGGAAAACAAAAATTTTGCTCACCAACGACATGTATGCTTGTCCGTTGTGTGGCTTCTGCCCTTCCCGTGCAGGTTTGCAGCGAGTTGAGGCCAGCGGTTGACATCTCGTGCGCCGCTCCTTCCACCGTCAAGGAGATCGCCCTTGCCTAAGTCTAGTTATCAGTCTAACCCTTGTTTAGTCGTGTTAGTGTTGCTTGCGCGTTGGAATGGCAAGTTTGGAGATTGGCCCGATGAACCTTATCTTTCTATGCCTCCGATGAGCCGGTCAGCAACACACATGGTTGTTTTGTCCTGATTTGTCCGTTCGTTACCGGTACAAGGTAGTAGGTGGGCCAGGGGGTGGGGGGGGGGGGATCGGAGCAATGGGCCGGGATGGTTTGTGGACCGGTTCTTGCTGTATCAACCTCCGTTACGATTGTTCGTTCCAGTTTGCTGACTTTCTGCTGGGGTTGAGAACCGTATGCGGCCAGGCGCGCTTGTATCGTTGTGTGCAACGGGAGCGCAGTCGTTGCCTTCTCCTTGTCTAGCTGTTCGTTACGTGGCAGCGGAGACCAGGCGCAGGCACTGAGTTTGCGGCTGAGAGTCGCTTGGAAAATTCTTCACTTGCTTCTGTACAGTTTGTTTCGACACGAATGGTTCTTGCAGTGAGACTTGTGTTTTGCCTCGGTTGACAGAGGAACCGAGTGAGGCCACAAAGCGCACACACAACACACACAGGTGGGGTCACGAGTAAAATTCGTCGTCGCCGCGAACGAAATGAGGCGTGTTGATTGCGCCGAGCGAGTAAGAGGAACGAAGTCGTCGGCGAGATGCGCGCAATGAAGGAGATTCGATTGAAGCGAAGCGCAGGGGCGTGGTCGCTTCTGTGATGGAGAGAAGATGGCACCCACGCCCACGCTCAGAGATGCAAGAGGTGGTGCGTATGACGAGCACGAATACAGCAGTGCGCCGAAGCGTTCACGGTCCACGAAACTCGAGGTTTAGGTTCATCTCTCCGACGTGCTCTCAGAATTACCAACGGCAGTAACTACGTACGAACGTGTCGAAATGGGCGATGATAACTCTCACGGCAGGGGCAGGCGACACGAGAGAGAGCGTAACGTACTTCTTTACACCTTACGTTTGAGAGAGTTCATGGTCCACCGTCAGCCAGTCCGGAAACAACGGCCCTACGACTGCACAGCAGTAGGAACGACGAGTAGGCCGGGGGTAGCCCCGACCAGACTCTGAAGCCCAACTGATTTTTTCCTCAAGATACAAGGGCGAGTCGTGCTAGCGCCGGGTGTTGGTCGGTCGTACCGGTCTACACGCGATGATTTTTGTAGCCACAAAGGGTGCCTCGGGATTGCTGCTCATGCTTGTCCGAGTGGAAAAGTGACAAAAACAACTCGAAATCTGCAGGCAAGGTTGACAGCATGACGCATTTCTCGACGCGGTAGACAGACTTGTCCGCTGTTTTTTCTGCAAACGTTGTGTGTCACCTATGCGAATGACGAATTTCGAAGAATTCCTGAGGACATCTTACGCATCCTTCGCACATTTCACAATCAACACATATAACTGCTGTACCCACTAAAAAAACAGAGACACGCAGCAAGCACTGCCATAACATTTTGCGTGACGGTGGATTCCAGGACAACACGAAAAGTCACGTGACAAAGGCCCGAAAACTCGTTCGAGGTACAAACACAATGGACTTAGTAGCTGGTTGTGCGCGAGCACACCACCACAGGCAGCGTGGCAACGTTCACCTCCGAATCTCCCGGCTACATGGAGGGATGAAGGGAAAAAACTTTCCAACACCACAGACAGTATGGACGGGTACGAAACAACACCCGACGACATGCATCCCTTCGGGTCAGGAGGATTGATTTGACTCAAAAACTCGGCACCCCCCTTTTGTCTGGTATAGGCGCAGAAGGACCACTGCATTGCACCCCAGCTGCTCCACGTTCTCTTCAAGGCGTATTGTACTGTAAACGACTGTTCGGGCCCATCGGAAAACAAGGGCTGCACCGACTATCAACACAGGAGCGAGAGACGACACAGGCGCCACGCTACCGGTGGTCATGATGCCCCCCCCCCCCCCCCCCCCCCCCCCCCCCCCC